GATGCAACAATCATCATCAAAACAAGTTTCTTGCCTAAAAGTTTTGTTCACAATGCAATGAAGTATTGATCCGTTCCCATTCCTGTGGTCGCCGTGTGCCATGTCGTGGTTGTTAGGGTCGATTTTAACTGTAAAACTTTAGTTTTTAAAACTCACAAATTTTATTGTTAGTAATATTATTTTCTAGAGTTTCAGTTGGAAGCTTCCAGATTTGGAGAGTACAGTGTTGGAAGTTGAGACACATTGTCTCAAACATGAATGTTTTAAGTGGCATCTATTTGCTGATATGGAAGAACTTCAAACTCAAACTTCGCCACCCATTTGTGCTGCTGATGGAGATAGGCATGCCCTGTCTTTTCAGCGCTATTTTGGCTATTGTGCGAGTTATGATTACTTTTGATAAAACCCCTAACGTCACCAGCTATTCACCGATGCCTGTTGATAATTGGCTGCCAATCGACAATAAAGTTATACTTTATGCTCCAAAATCTCACCTTGTTGATTCGCTAATGACAATTTTTGTAAACACTTCTAAGGCAACGCCAAAAGGTAGGAAAATGCACACAGCTTAAAACATCATTATCACTGAGTTTTTCTAGTACGAGGATTTGAAGACGAAACCAAATTGGTTGAACACTATGCTAAAGAAAACTCTGACATAATCTCTTGTGGTGTTGTTTTTCAAAACATGCCTGCTGAAAATTTTGATAGAGAAAAACTAATAGTAAAGATTCGTTTTCCTTTTGTTCCTAAACAAAAATCCGGTTTAAGCTTTGATAAAATTGATCAGTTCACTTGGCAAACAGCTCGATTGTTCCCAATGTTTCAACAACCAGGTCCAAGAGCATTCGATCAAGTTCAAGGAGGTCCGCCTAACTATTTAGATGAAGGTTTTCTTTATGTTTACCATCAAATTGTGAAATCTATTCTTCTTTATCAAAATTCAAGTCTCCAAAGCACTCTTAACTCAACTCGAATCAATGTGCAACGTTTTCCTTACCCTCCGTATATTGCAGATAAATTTCTTTTTGCTCTGCAATTCTTCTTTCCACTTATTCTTATGCTAAGCTTTATTTATCCTTCAGTAAATTTGACAAAAAACATAGTTTTAGAGAAAGAGCAGCGTTTGACTCAAATAATGGCAATGATGGGACTGCGAGATTGGCTTCACTGGACTTCTTGGTTTGTAAACTCACTTTTCTGGAGTATTCCAAGTTTGGCAATCATTACTGTTTTACTTTGTGTGCCGTTTAAGCCGGATTTGACTATCATTGGCTACAGTAATCCCTCTCTAGTTTTCCTATTTTTTCTTTTTTATACTGTCAACTCAATATCATTTAGTTTTCTGGTCAGTACTTGGTTTTCTCGGGTGAGTTTATCAAACAAAATTAAAAACAAGTGTTTGTGGTGGAAAAGACCATTACTAATGGGGACGATCAAGAGGGTGAATCAGAAGGGATGAGATGAGGGAATGGTGATTAGTGGCAGACTGGGTACCTACTGGTAAAGTGTGTCTACATGAGGTCTGCTTATGTAGGGGAGAGAGAGAGAGAAGGAAAGATAGATAGAGAGATAGGGGGCACACGTGATGAGTAAGAGTTGTGTGTAAGAGAGTGAACTGTGTGTGTTGACTGTGATGTGTTGGTGCAGTGCAGCTGGCACTACATGTTCTAATAAACTTTTTAGGCAAATGTTGCAGGTGTCATTTCTGGTGCTATGTACTTTATCACCTTCTTACCATACTTTCAAGTGAACATAAACTATCAGTAAGTTTCTTTTGATGTTTTTGAGCAATAAAACAAAAAATTTTTTTAAAGTGATTTGACATTTGTTGAAAAAATTGTGCTTTGCTCTATTTTTAACACCAACATGGGCATTGGAAGTTTGATTTTGTCTATGTGGGAATCAGAACACGTTGGTTTACAATGGTGGAATCTATTTGAAGCTGCTTCTCCTGATGATAATCTTTCCTTCTTTCATGTCCTTCTTATGTTTTTAGTCAATTCAGTTGTGTACTTTTTGATTGCACTTTACATTCAGAATGTTTTTCCAGGAGAATTCGGAATTCCTAAAAAATGGTACTTTTTTGTTGAACTTGATTATTGGAAAACTATTTTTGGGCAAACTGGAAAAACGAGTGATGTAGAAAAAACAACTGATAATGATGTTAAAAACCGATTTGAATCAATTGTAATTGAAAATCTCTCTAAATCATACGACAAAGGAAAAACATTTTCAGTCAGTTCACTAAATCTTATTATGGAAAAAGATGAAATCACAGTTTTGTTAGGTCACAATGGAGCTGGTAAGTGTATCATTTACTTTTATATTTTTAATTGCTATAAAATTCTAGCGTTTTTTAGGAAAAACAACTTTAATGTCTATTCTTTGCGGGCTCATACCTCCTACATCAGGCAAAATCACTGTAGACGGTCGAGATTTAATTCAAGAAATGGAATATGTCAGAAAAAACTTAGGCAAGTGTCCAAAATTAATTTATTGAAACATATTAATTAAATTGTTAATATCAATAGGAATTTGTCCCCAATTTGATGTTCTGTTTGATCACCTGACAGTATCTGAACATTTGTGGTTTTACTGTAAACTAAAACAAATTGATGATAAACAAATTCAGTTTGAAATTGATCAAATAATTAAACAACTGGATCTTGAACCTAAACGCAACCAGCAAGCTTACACTCTAAGTGGCGGTATGAAAAGAAAACTTTCGGTAAGATTAGTCTAAATATAAACAAAATTGCAAATACATTATTTTTTTAGGTTGGTATTGCTTTATCAGGGGGCTCAAAGTTCGTACTACTAGACGAGGTAAATGTTTGGCAAAATAATAATAAAAATAACTGTTTTATTTAGCCCACGTCAGGAATGGACGTATCTGCCAGACGATTTATATGGGAAATCTTATTAGCTGTAACATTATCATTACAATAGTTAATTGACGTATATTATAATGGTTTTTTTTTGCATTAGGAAAAAAGTAATAGGACTATTTTACTATCGACTCATTTTATGGAAGAAGCAGATGTAATTTTTTTTAATTTTTAAGTTCAATCTTAACTTTAATTTTATATTTATTGTAATTTTAGGTGCTTGCTGACAAAATAGCTATTGTTGAAGCTGGTAAACTCAAATGTTTTGGTACACCAATGGAGTTAAAAAAACTTTATGGTCTGGGATATTTGTTAACATTTGCTACACGAGAAAATGCAGAATCAAACTTGATACACGACCTCATCCAGAACCATATTCCCAATGCTAAATTATTATCTTCTGTTGGTACTGAAGTAAGTACCAATTTGGTTTCAAATTGAAATCTGTATAATATTTTAATTTAGGTTTCTTTTTCGCTGCCTGAATCTGAAACAATGAAATTTGAAAAACTTTTCCACACAATTGAACAAAGTTCAGAAAGACTTGGAGTGATATCTTATGCTATTTCGGTCACGACTATAGAAGAAGTTTTTCTTCGTGTTGGAGATTTTGCAAAAGAAGCCACTGATCAATTTAACGCTTTTGGAAAGGAAAATGAAAAAGGAACAAATGATGATTCAATATTAGAGCAATTTCGACCAAACTCGCTGAAACTTAATGTTGGGCTGTTGCATTCACTTCAAGTTTACAATAGTTTACTGACGAAAAAGTTACTCTACTTTATTCGAAATCCATTTCTAATATTTGCACAGTTTCCAATGCCATCAATGCTTCTTTTTATGGTAATTCAGATAATTTATTTATTTTTTTCTAATTTAAAAGTTTAATTTAGGCTGTCATAGTAGACAGAACTCAATTGGAAAAAGCAGTGTATTCTCCTGCAATGCCTTTGTCGTTAACACTTTACAAAACCTTGTATATTACATCATTCCTAGATGATAGTCAACCAGCCCAGTCATTGTCAAACTTATACGTTGATTTAATTCGCTCAACTGGCCATGATGTCAAATTGGATAGTAAGTTTTTGTACATTCTTATAACTCTACAACTATCATGTTTTATCACTCTAGTGCTTAAACTTGGCAATAACGATACAATGAATGAAGCAGTTCAGTATCTAGCCGATTTCGGAAAACGACATGAAGCAGAGTACAATATATACTACATGATGGCGGCTTTGTTTATGCAAAACGACGACAAACTAGTGCTTACAGCAATGTTCAACAACCAAGCTTATCATACTAGGTAAAGATAATAATTTAAATTTTTTAATAATTAGTGTACTGAAACTATCAATTAGTGCCACGTCGTTAGCGTTTTTGGAAAATGTTCTTTTGCGATACTTATTACCAGACAATCCAGTTCAAATAGATTTATGGAACGAACCTTTTCCGCGCAAACAACGGGACGCATATAGCGCTCGTGAATTTGATTCTAGTCTCCAAGTGCAGTTGGCCAATTCAATTCTTTTTTCGACGTGTATTTTGTTGTCCAGTTTTATTATTTTGATCGTGAAAGAGAAAGAATCAAACTTTAAACTCATACAACAAATTAGTGGACTGAACTTAGTGCAATATTGGTTGAGTAATTTTATTCTCGATTACTTGGTTTATGTTATTTCAACTTTGATCATGGCATTTGTGGTATTTTTGCTTAGAGTAGACGCTTTTCAGACAGTGGCTCAGCTAAGTTACTTGACCATAGTCTTTGTTGTATCCGGTTTGGCAGCATTACCTTTTATTTATATGTGCTCAGCAGCTTTCAATGACCCTGCCACTGCCTATGTTCGAGTTTCTCTCTACATGTTGATTGCCGGTCAAACGACTTTTCTCATGGTACTAATACTACAGATTCCAGATTTTGATTTAATGGATACCAGCAAACAATTAGATGAAATTTTCTCTTTCTTGTTGCCCATGTACACATTATCTATATCAGTTTTTTCCATTTATCAAAATTATAAATCACAAGAATTTTGCCTTGGAAACATAACATTTTATAATGTTACTTACCGAGTACAAGATTTCTGCACTGAGAGATATACCAACATGTTTCCAATAATGAAATCTTGTTGTCCAGGTACTTTAATGCAAAAAATGGCTAATATATATTTATTTTGTTGTTAAAAATTTTTTTTAGGACAATGTGATAAAATGTGTTTCAATTTTGAAGAAAATTTTTTAGCTTGGGAAAAACCAGGACTTGCTCAATACTTGCTTGCATTTGTTTGCCAAGCAGTTCTTTTCTGGGGAATACTCTCAACTATTGAATCTGGTAAATTTAATATTAAAACTTTGATTTCACAATGGACAAACAAAACTGGCACATACGACGTTGATGACTTAGATAGAGATGAAGATGTTCAACAAGAGGAAGCTCGAATCAGAAAAGAAAATACCAGTTCATTGGCCAAAACAGATTCATTGATAGTAAAAAACCTCATTAAAAAGTATGGAAACTTTACAGCAGTAAACAACATTAGCTTTGGAGTAAAGCGAGGAGAAGTAAAATACTTTGCATGCCAAATAAAAAACAGTACAAAATACTAAAATAACTTTTTATAGTGCTTTGGAATACTCGGCATTAACGGGGCCGGAAAAACTACTACGTTCCGTTGCATTTGTGGTTCTGAAAAAATTACCAGGTATAATAACTCAGTTAAAAGTGCTTAAAATTAAAAACATGTACTTTCAGTGGAGATATTTATGTAAACGGACCTAATGGACTAATCGATGTTAAAAAACACATGAGTCAAGTGTACAAATCAATTGGCTACTGTCCTCAATTTTGTGGGCTTTTAGATCAACTGACAGGAAGAGAAACATTGCGGATTGTATCGCGAATTAGAGGAATTGACGAAATGTTAATTGATAAACAAGTGAATGCACTTGCTCAAATACTTTTCTTTAGTAAACACATTGATAAACTTGTTTCAAGTTATAGTGGTGGTATGTTAAAAAAAAATTATGGTAAAATACTAAGTAATATGTTTAACTTTTCAGGAACTAAACGAAAACTTAGTTTTGCTGTTTCATGCAGTAAGTTAAATGTAAAATTAAAATGCTTAAAAGTTAATACCATTTCTTTTAGTTGGAACGCCGTTTATAATCTTCCTAGATGAACCGACAACTGGTGTTGATCCAATATCTCGACGATGCCTTTGGACAGCAATCTTAAGTTTGCGAGCAGCAGGAACATCATTAGCGTTAACAAGTCACAGCATGGATGAGATTCAAAGTCTTTCTAATCGCTTGTTTATCATGATTGGCGGAAAAATCGGTTGCATTGCTAGTCCTTTAAGATTAAAGTTTAAATACGGGACAGGATATTACCTCCAGTTAAAACTAAAAAAAGAAAAATCTACAAATGAAAATGATTTCAAAATGAATAATTTGCATTTAAAAGAAATGGATGAACAGAATTTAACAACTGTCAGCAATTATCTTGTAGCCCGTTGGCCAGCTTGCACTATTGAATCCTCACATAATGGTTTACTTTCATTTCGATTGAAAACTACTGATGTAAAACTAAGTGCACTTTTTGGCGATATTGAACGATTGAAAAGTTCAAACACGTTACCAATTGAAGATTATTCTATAAGCCAAACTTCATTAGAGCAAATATTTCTTTCATTTGCACGTAAACAAAGAACTACAATATAAAAAGTTTGTTGCAAAAACGAGCAAAAAGATCACTTTTATGTAGTTTATTCTTATTATTTCCTCATTATTCTAGCCAGCCGTTAGTATTGGCATTATCTCTTATTCGTTTAACCCCATATCCATACTTCAGCCGACTAGCGGTAATTTCATGTACTACTCCCACTTTTCTAGAACGATTTGTGGAGGCTAACGCCCTCTACAACATTGTCACAATTAAAGAGAGCACGCTGGTCGTTTGTCAGAACGTGCACAGCCATCATCGAGTAAAGACGTTGCTAATCTTGCTCGAGAGCTGAAGGCCAAGCTTGCNTCGTTTGTCAGAACGTGCACAGCCATCATCGAGTAAAGACGTTGCTAATCTTGCTCGAGAGCTGAAGGCCAAGCTTGCCTGAGCGCGTAGCTCAACCCGAAGAACCCCATCACGAAGAAGGCCTATGTGAATACGCTGGGCCACCCATCAAATCAAATCACTCGGTTTCACAACCACCCCCAAACCAACCGCAGGGACACACCGCTGAAGCTGGTGAGACGCCAGTTTGTGGTCTCTCTCTGCAGTACCGCCCGAACACTCTTCCTCACACCCATTCCCACCACTAGTGACAGAGACGAGGCAGTAAAAGCTCACGGCCTGAGGTTCGAGCGAACAATCACTAACTCGTTTCTGTTACATTTTGTAAAAATTTACTTAACTAATGACAAAAATGTGTTAAAATATAATAATGTTTTAAAATAAAAAAAGAAATCACAAACTTAAAGTAATTTGTCATTTACATTTAGTCAATATTAAGAATAAAACTAGCATTTCAGTGAAATGCTAAATAAAAATAAATTAAAAATTTTTGTAGTTGAGCAAAAACTTGGCAAACATTTAAAAGACAAAAAACTTAAAATCACGTTCAGCAACNCAGTGAAATGCTAAATAAAAATAAATTAAAAATTTTTGTAGTTGAGCAAAAACTTGGCAAACATTTAAAAGACAAAAAACTTAAAATCACGTTCAGCAACTACAAAAATGATAACGTCAATACAGCATGCATGTTTCGAGAAATGAAAACGCTAATAGACTTAAGTACTACAAAGAAACAATCCAACTGCATGACTTGTTGCTTTTTGCTAGCCTGTTGTCAGTGTTTGTACTTTTTATTTCATTTTTTTTTATTATAAAACGCTAACAAACTTGGTTAAGGTGAGAATGAGCCCAATTTAGCGCCCCTAGCGGCGTAATGT